ACTCACTGCCAGCAAGTCGATGCAGATTCGTAGCAACCCAAGGACAGGGTAGAACTGCATCTGTGGGTTTCTGAGACTATAAGGTTTTAAGGGTGTAGAAAGCCTCGTCTTTCTTCCTTGGAGCCACTGGTGGTTTGGAACTGAGGACTTTGCAGTTAGCAGCCCAATGAGTCACTGGGGCTCCCAGTTCCCTGTCTGAGATCACAGTTTCTGTCTAGAAGCAGGGAATGTCAGGAAGCACTCTGTCATGGTGGATTTGGAAATCAAATCCACATGGAGGTTGACTTTGTTTTTTATGAAGGGGAGGGTGGATCGTGATTGAGGGATTCCACAACTGGATACACATTGCCAACAGTGATTTCCCAAAGACCCTGCTGTGATCCGGAAGGAAAGAAGGGGCCAGCCTGGACAATTCAAGACTTGCAAGTCAGGAAGTCAGAGGGACCCTTCCGTGAAGGAGGGGCCTCTTCTGCTCTTCTGAGCAGCTCCAGAGCAACACGGCAGTGCCATCACCCTGGGGAGTCCTGCTGGAGACATCCCAAAGAAGGAATGAAGATTTCTGTTCCAAATTAAGTTGTCAGCGAGCTCATTTTTACTACACAGCGTGCCTATGTGGGCGAGCTGATGAAGATGATTTATGCGGCTGTAGATGCAGAAGCAGTGCTGCTGGTGGCAATCCACAGCAAAGCCCACTCAGGAAGAGGAAACAGAGCTCCTACAGCTGTGGGAGGTAACGCCACACGGCTCCTGCCCTTAAAATTTCAAATTGTCCTACTGGGTTATGGATGCTTACTTACTGAAGATTCATGTTTAAGCATCATATCATGCAGACTCTTGTACCTGTCTCCATTTAAAAAAAAAAAAGCTTATAATCACTGCCTGTATTTTAAAGATGTTTGGACAGGATATTTTTTTCTTTTGGAGGGACAAGAGGGGGTGATCTGATCATTACAATCACATCACAGTTAGGGATGTAACATAGGACTGTTTAAAATGCCTACAATGAATGCAGCCTGGTGTACAAAAGTAACAGATGCACTTTCAGGGTAAGACTACGGCAAGTTACGTTTCACGGGGCTAACAAACGGTACAAGCAAAACTGAATATGTGCTCATCCGCAGCGAACTTCTTCCCTTTGTATCATGGGGTGGAGGGGTGCGAGGAGAAGCCCAGACCCCAGAGAGTATTTATAAACCTGAAATGGAAATTGTGTTATGACTTCCTTCATTATATTCCACGATTGCTCCTTTTTTTTTTTTTATTGCTCCTTACAGGGCAAGAATTACTTCAAGAGCTTCCTGGGAAGATACAGGCTTTGAGCTGACATGTTCAGGTGTGCCTGTAATACCTCAATTGAGAGGCAAGTGCCGGCTTCAGAAATAGCAAAGATATTAAGTACATCCCCACAGAAACAGGGCAAGCTCAAACAGAGACCAGCGCTATGAAGGAACAACATAAAACAAGGCCAAGTCTTCCCTACCCAGGAGCACAGGGCTTGGAGGTTTCCAAGGTCGGGGAGCAGAGGAGGGCAGTGAAAACAACAGGCTAGAGAGGTGGCAGGTGTGAACTTGGGTGAGGGGAAGACTGTAACCCACCGGAGTGAAAAGAGAAAGCAAAGGAGGGGGATAGGGTAAACTATAGGGGTGTGGTTATGTAACTTAAACTGTTGAATACAAAGTTGCTGATCTGAACGACTAATCCTCTCCTGCTCCAAGATTTTAAAATTGCTTTTAAAAAAATCAAACAACAGTCATCTCCAGTAAGTCTATGGCTCTTGCACCTTCTAAATTTCCTTATTTTTTCATCACCACGTGCACAGTAAGCCAGTTGGAATGATTCAGTGCAAAGTACCTGAGTTCCACCTTTGTCTTCCATCGTCGTGAAAATGACACAAGCACACATCTGGGTACTCCGTAGTGGGAGACGGCCTGTGCTGTGGGGACGTGGATTAATAAAAGCGTCAGCTAATGTGTGCACAGCAGATGATCTCGACGTGGAGATGGATCTCAGCTTGCTGACGTAAGAGACTGGCATGTGAAGGGACACACAGCAGCAGCCCTTGTTTGAAAGCAATCGTCAGCTCCTCTTCCCACATAGGTTTTTAAACATCTATATGGCATCAAGGGCTCAAGTAGAAAGAACATGCTTTGACAATGACGATGGCAACATATGCCCAAATGTGCTTGATATGATGGATGGATGGATGGATGGATGGATGGATGGATGGATGGATGGATGGATGGATGGATGGATTGTGATAAGAGCTGTAAGAATCCCCAATAAAAGTATTTAATTAATACATATATAATATCTACTTTATTCCAGATCCTGATATTGAAAAAAGCAGGCACATATATGGATGGACTTAGAGGCAAACAGAAGTTACATGTCCTAGTTACCAAGTCATTGGTATGGTCACTGCCATTCCCTCGGGATGATATCAAAGAAATATGATTACAGTCAAATGAGAGATTCAGCGAAGCTCTTCTTCTCCTTCAAATTCTTTCTCCTCTTCTTCCACAGCCTCCTCTTCTTCTTTCTCTTTTCTTCGCCTTATCTTTTCGTATATATATTGTCTAACTTTTCTGATAGTTAGATAAATAAATTTAGCTTGTAAATCCATGTCATCCCTATGGGCTACCAGGCCATGTCATGCTAACCCTCAGTGGGTTCTTTTGTTTGGACCTCTTGAAGGCAAAGGAAACACGAAATCTTAAAATGTCAATAAGTTCACTTATACATGAACATATAAATAAACAATTTTAAGATGCAAAAAAGACCAGGAAGGAAAGATATTTTAAAAGAATTTCTTAGCGTTTCAAGTTGAATCGTTAGTTAGACCTTGTGTTTAAAAATTAAAAATATGTATTTAAGTTTAAAAAAATACTATTTTAAAATCATGTATGTTTTTTGTCTGTTTTTAGTAGGATCCACACATCTCAGCTGCAGCAGTTGTGATGCCAGAAGACCAGCAACTCGTGTTTTACTTGTGAAAACGTGTGGCAGTTGCATATTGTTATAAAACGGTGGTGCTGATAACTGGCATGGGAAGGTGAATTCAAACCCCATTCGGTCATCAAGTAACAGAGTTGAGAACTGACAAGGCAGGAACACTTAAGAGAATCCGATGTGTTCATCTTTGCATCATCCCTAAAAATTAAAGCGACCCTCCACTGAGTGCCATTGCTTTAGTTGCTCCCCACAAATATGGAGACCTACTTCCTGGTCAAGTCATGCTCCTCTCAGAGGCCCGCGTGCAATCCTTTCTTTGTACACTGAGGAAGCTACTCCTCCAGAAACACACAGTGCCCACGACGACAGGGAGTGTAGCATCCCCTCTGGACCTCGCGACGTCCCAGTGAGCTGGGCAGATGGAGGGGTGAAGAGTATATGCCCCCAGATGACAGATGAGGAAATCGAGTCTGGGAGGGAGAATGGCTGCCCCGCCAGCTTCCAGGACCAGAGCTCTTTTGTTAGAAGACATTTGGGCATTTTGATCTGACAGAAGGATTGTTCAGCACATGCAGGACTTTTCACATCCCCCAGAGATTCCCGTCCCCAGGCCCAGAGAACCTTGGCCAGTTGGCCAACACTCACTGGCCGATTGAGAATCGAGAGACACATGGCCTCTCCCCCCCCCACGGCTGTCATTATCTCTCTTAAAATTAAAAAAAAGACCGAAGAGTCAGGACAAATCTGCCATTTAAGCCAGACTCCTGGGATGTACTTATTTTTAGCTTGGTCGATATTGTAACTTTGGTTTTTATTCGACAGTATAACCAAACAACAGCCTGTGTAATAAAGTCCTAAGTACAAACAGTTGTAGTCTCTACCATTAAGCAATAAAAATAACAAGGACACATAGATCTTTCAGTCTCCAAAGCACTCTGCCTTTTGTTTTAAATGGGACCTAAGAGTTGGGAGAGAGGGGAGGGAAGGGAAAGAAGGGGAGACAGATAGACAGAGACAGAGAGAGAGTCACAAAGAACAATCAAATACAGAGAAAACCTATTAGTCAGGCTCCTGTGAGTGCTGCCATCATCCATGAGTGATATTTAGAAATAGATCCCTACCCTCCCCCCACCCCCACCCCCACCCCGCACCCTCGCCAACACCTTTTGGGGCCTGTTCCTTCATCGTCCCTTCGTACACATACACAGAGCACCCTCCTCGATAAATGGAGCATTCCAAATTAAACGTACATTCCAAATTAAGTTCTAGGTGTTATTTTCCTCGTTAGCAAAGGACAGTAAGACTGATCTGAGTCAAGTTGTATGTTTACTCTGTTATTTCCCCGACTGCCATTTCCAGTGGGAGCTAGCAGCCAATACCTCTGCCAACCCTCCCCTACATTTTTAAAACAACTTTCTTCAAATGGCCTTTCCTTCTCTGATTGAAGTATGAGACTGGACACTGTTCTAAGCCCAAAATCGTGCAAGGGATATAAGAGAAGATTATCTAAACCCCAAAGCTTTTTAATGCTGTTTTTTTCCTACATAATCTCAATCCTAGATACTGCCTATGTGAAAGATACGCACACGGATATGCATCGAATTAGAAAGAATTGGATGGCACCTACCCACACCCACAACTCCAAACTGTGCATGTGCATTTTCAGGCAAGCACTGAACTGCTAAACTCAAGGAAATCGGTTCAGACCCACCAGGATCTCCTGAAGAGAAAGCTTTAGCTGGCTGTTCGCACAAAGATTTACGGGTGCTTCAGAAATGTGTAGCTTCAGAAATCTAGAGGATCATTATGACTCAGAATGGATTTCATAGCAGTGCAAAGTATAAATACCTACACATCTGTATATAAAAAAAGTGCCGTCTACATGGGTGCATTGCAGGTCTGCACATTGAGATGGGTGTGCTTGGCTGTGTGCACACCTGCACCTGCACCTTCTTAGAGACGACTTACTTTCTCTGAAGCCTTCAACACTTGGCCCTTGTTTAGAGACGCTGAGAATTGGGGAGACGAGGTGGAGGGAGAAGAGCAAGCCAGACATCAAACCCATTTATTCTGAATCTTAAATGATGACTTTTTAGCGTAGTTTGGTTACATTGGCACACAAAGGACAAAGTAACATCCGGTTTGAGGTCTCAACTGACAGCTTTGGGATTGGCGACAGTTCCTTGGCATACAGACCCTGCTCCCACCAACTCTCACCTGTGCCTTAGCAAAGACCTCGCATGATGTTGGCAAAACTAGAGATGCCTGTAAAACGGCTCCCAGGTGCCCTAGCCAGAAGCTTGGAGTGCTGTGACTTCCAGCGGAGTATTTGGCCAGGTCTGCCCAGGGGGTGTCCACAACCCATGCTGGACAGAGCAGAGGAGACTCCTGTCTGCTCAGTCTGAAGTGGGTCCACCTGAACGAGAGCCACCTGCAGAGAAGGCTGGAGCAGACTCCACGAGGGAGCGCTGGGCTCCACAAACGTGGTCATCTCAGCTGCCACTCTTGTTTTACCCTTCTCGCCCAGCCTGGAACGCCAAGGTTGTGTCTTCTGATTGTAAATTAAAAAACAAACAAACTCAGGGTGCTAGTTCCGAAGAGCACCCAAGAGAATCACTTTCCAGGGGCCTGCAGGCTTGTCAACAGGTTGGGTTCCCTCTGGTGGCAGGTGCCTTTCTGCCTGTACTGTTTGGTCCCATACCAAACAAAATCTGCAGGGGTGTTTGGCTTGGCGTGGCTGTGTTTCATCCAGGGGTGTAACAGACTTCTCAACTGCCCCCGGATGGGGAGTATGGGGTGAGGGGTGCGGGGGAACCGCTGACTGGGGGAAGAAAGTAAAGCTTTTTGAGGAAATAAAAACAAAAAAACAAAAAAACCCCAGGAAAACAAAACAAAAACTAAACACAAACAGTACGAAACAAAAGGAGTAGTCTGATCGTGCAAAATCGCGTCTCTGGGTAAAGCACTTCTCAACAGGTTCACAAGGTCCCCAGCCCACACCCGAGTCCTCCCATTCCCCTGAGGGAAAAGAAAATACAGACTAAAACTGGAGCCAAACTTTTTCTTAAGGCTATACAGATGCACAGAGAACACATTTCAAGGGCTGTCTGGCGGGCGGCGCTGTGCAGGCGTCCTGCTTAGAGGCTGCATCCATGGCTCCCTCTGGGATCCGACCTGGGGCCTGCGGGCTCCCCAGGTCAGAGAGGACGATACAATGGACAAACAAAAGAAGAACAATCCAACAGTAAGATCCGATATTTACTTTACGATCACAGGTACAAATTGCTGCGATCCATCATTTCATTTCTCCTTAAGACCTTGTCGTCCAAAACTCATTAGAAGGCCAGGTTTCCAGAGGAGGAATTGTCAGTAGTCAAAGAAAATGCTAGAGAGCTCTCGAGAAATCCTTCTGACATGGCAGTCTGGCGGGAGATGGGAGCGACCCAGTGCCTTCTTCCAGAGAGGTCAAGGTAGCAGGAAGGGAGGGCAGAGTCCTGGGTCCAGATTGCAGGCCTCGGTCCAGGGCTCTGTGCTTATAGAGGAAAGACTAAGAAGCCAGAGAAGGTGGAGTACTTCCAGCCCCCCATGAGGTTGCCCCGCTCCAGTTTCAGATGCACTTTGTCCTCCCTCTCCATGAGCAGCAGGACACCATTACTGGCTGCTTCTCGGGTGACGTCCTGGTCACCAGCAAAGGCAGAGATCACGGGGTACCCATTCTGCATTAAACTGACCTGAAACATAGAGGGCACAGTTCAGGGCCCACTTCCACACCCACACCTGGCCCTCTTCTCCCCTGGCCTCCCACTCACACCCAGCGAGGTGAGGGTGCCTCTCCCCAGCCAGCTAAGATCCATTGTCCTCCCAGTCAGCAACCTGCTGGGCCCCCTGTGCGTTCAGCAGGCAAGGGTCATGTGCAGTGGGCAGGGATTAGCGTGACCCACCTGGATGGTCTGTCGGTTGTACACCTTGACCACGTGGAAGCTAAAACTATAGATCCCTTTTCTCGGCGCTACAAATATGCTGGAGGCAAGATCGAAATGGTTGCCGATGTTCACTAAGACCTGCAAGAAGAAAAAAGGGATAAAGCAAGGGCCTGGCTTTGCCCTCCCTGGCTTACCTCCTTGAGAGAAGGTAGGGAAAGGCCCCGGTTCTAATTCCTGGAGGCTGGAGAAGGTTAGGTCATGCCACTTACAGGATCCCCAAGGAGGCAGCAGCTGGGTTACAGTACCCCCAGGCATTCTGATTGGGGTACCCTTCATCAAGGAGCTGGTAACCAAGGCATTCTGATTGGGGTACCCTTCATCAAAAGTTTAAACTTTTTTTCAATTAGCATCTTTGAATGAGCATTCAAACCATTGATGAGCCCCTTGTATGCTGTCGTGGGGAGAGAGAAAAGAAAAACAGCCCGACCAGTTATCTACTGAGTCTGTGGCAGAGCTTTGTGGGGCTGCAGGGACTTCAAGAAACAGCTTTGTTGGACAAACTCGAGTTTCACACCAAAAGGGTAGAGGAAGGATGATGAGGTCAGAAACCAGGGAAGAGTTGAGTGACCCGCAGCGTGGGGGGAGTGGGGGTGGTAAAGCGTTGGTAGTTTCAGCTTGGAAGGGCTCCCTCTTTTGCCTGGCATCATTTTTTGTAGTATACAGTAGGTGCTCAATTAAAAACTCTGAGTGAGAGAGTGGGACGGAGAAACAGCAACTGCCCCACCTTGTCTCAGCTGCCTCTGAGCTCAGGACTGGGCTCCCCTAACGGGGCTACAAGCTCTGCACACAGGCTTGAACAAGAAAAGGGAGAATGAAACCCAGGGTTTGGACACCCTATGCTCAGACTCGGGGACACCACCACCAGCAAGAGCGCTGACAAACTGAGCCAAGGGATGCTTGGCCCCTTGATTCTGGAGCTCGTCTTTGTAGATAACAAGGCAGGGATGTGGGTTCCCATTATATGCAATCCCATTCCTTCAGATGTGTCAAGCAGAGGCTGAAGCAGTCCCCACCCACCCACCCTCCATGGCTTCCTCATAAGTACACAATCTGATTAAGATCACAAAGAACAGGCTGGCCTGTCTGGGCTCCTCTGCTCCCCAAACCACCAGCCACATAATAAGAACCATGGACCAGAGAGCTTGTCACGGATCAGAAAAGGGGCGTCAACTGAATAGCCTTTGTGCTTTTCCCCCTTGCACATTCATTATATGAGCAGATGCACAACCTGTGTGCCCACCAAGGCCAGCCATTCCCTGGAGCCCTCTCAGATTCAGCCCTGTTGTTCAGGACAAGGTCCTTCAGGATGCCACTTCCTGCACAGTCCCCAGTGCACATCACTCAGCCCAGGCTCAAGGCTTCAAAGGAGACTATAAGATTCTCCCTCTGAGCCCTCTTTGTCACATCACCTCCCTCAGGTGGAAAGCCAGGAAGCTGGCCCACTCAGGGTGCTGCTGCTGGTGCTGCTGGGTTCAGAGGCTACCCAGCCAGCCCTCGGAGGCCACTCTCTCTTTGTATGACCGGGTTTCCAAATGGTCCTAGGAAAATCCTGTTATTCAATTCCTTTTTCCCCATGAACTTTTGGAAGCCTCCTGGTACATAACCAGGGGATTGGGGGTGGGTGGGGGGAACCATTGTATCACCCAGTCTGCTACAGTCAGCTCAGATATGACAGTCCTCTTTCTGCCCCTGCCCCAAGAGTTCAGGGCCAAGCTGAACCCTGTTGGGCTCTGTAAAGATGCTGTGCAGTCCACACCCACAGCGACTTAGTAACAACCAAAGATAGGACTTAGGAGACACAAAGAAGAACATATAGCTACATCACTCCCAAATGACTATCTCATGGTTGCCTCCTTAATCTGGACAGAGTTGCAAAGCAGTATTTTTCTGTCCGACTAAAAGACACAGGAGCAAAAGAAAGAAAGACAAATGAAATGCGGGAGAAGAGAGGCATGATGTGGGAGAAGAGAGGCATGCACTGGCCTGAGCAGGCGGGTGAAGTCAGGCAGCCCAGTGCCAGGAAACCCTCCTTGAAGCCTGTGACTCCGGAGAACTCCCTGCTTTGGGAAGCACTCTGGCAAAGGGCAGGGACT